GGCTATTTCCTCAGGTTCTGTCAAAATCGCATTAATTTGGCTTTATAATGATTTACCCAACACTACATATATAAAAAAAATTAACTAGTTTTTAGCATAAAATTATCGTTTCTGTTTGACTCAATTATCTATTACAATTGATATTACCCATTAGTTTTGATTAATTACTGATGCAGATTTGATTTCGTAACAAATTGATAGGAGTAACTTACTGCTTAATGTTCCAATATGATGAACTATTTTAGCAATTAAGTGAACCTCTGTTATCATATTATACCAACTAGTGAGAATCCCGTGCGATGCACGGGGTTTCCGTACTTTAGAACTTTTTTTTAAAATTTTATTTTCACAATATATTAGCATGCTGACCCGTTTATATTATTATAAATAATATTTTAACATATATATTTATTTTTAATACAAAATAATAATAATTTTACATATTATGGTTCATCATAATACTCAGTTATTAATCTATCAAAAAATCTATTATCATATAATGTCATTATTATTTATAACACTTGTAGAAGTAATACACTTGTTATCTATATGTATATAAAGAGGGAGTTGATGGAATTTATTGCTAAATATAGATGATATGCAATGACTGTAATTGGTAACATTTCTACATTTGGTTGGGTAATTGTAAGGTTAACTATTTTTGCTAAGAATGCCAAATAATAATGGAAAATGCATTAACTTAACTAAATTCGTATTCAATTATTTTTGGTTATTTTTAAGAATGGAAAATAATAATTGTAAGTTAACTTACCCAATTCATTCCGTTTAGAAATTTAACAATAATATTTATATTTTTTTACAATATATTTAAAAATATATAGCATCAACTACGCTTAACAATATTCCAATTATTTGATACCTTAAATATATTTAATATCATGAAATCTACATATGTCATTACTGTGTTTTTTAAGACAGTCGTATTAGTTTATGCTAACATAGCCATACCTATTAGTTTATGCTAACATTATGTATAGATCCAAAAAACATGTTAAAGAAAAAAAAATATTTATTATGAATAACCTATTTAAATTAAGTTATTATATGAATACATGATAATCGTGAATGATTAACAAAATACATGAATCATATTAATGTCAATAAAATTAAGCAATATTAATGGTGCTTGCTTAACTAAATACACCCAAACTTACCAAGATACTCGAGTACAGAATAGGAGTAATTCACGCTATAAATCTCATTTCCAAAATTTGTGTCATCATATTGTTCTTTCATAATTCAAGAAGAATGAAATCTACATTAATATCCCACAATTTTTGCGCAAACCAAGTTTTTTCAGAGACGTTAATTAATTTTTTTATTTTGGTCTCTAATTACTATTTTCCATATCTTTTTTTAAATATTTAAACTTTTGGAAATCCAATATATAAATCAGTTAATAAAAGAATCAAAAAGGCTTTTTTTCGAAACATGATTATTGCGATCAAAATATGTTATCCACATCAAATGTTGGTGTTGTGTTCGAAACCAAGTTTTTTCAGAGACGTTTATTATTTTTTTATTTTGGTCTCTAATTACTATTTTTCATGACTTTTTCAATACATAACGTTTGTTTCGAAACATGATTATTGCGAAGAAAATATGTTATCCACATCAAATGTCGTTGTTGTGTTCTAAACTAAGTTTTCTCGAAGACGTTGATTAATTTTTCTATTTTGGTCCCTTATTACTATTTTCTATGGCTTTTTTCAATACATAAACATTGGTTTTGAAACATGATTATTGTGATGAAAATATGTTATCCACATTGAATGTTGGTGTTGTGTTCGAAACCAATTTTTTTCAAGGACGTTGATTAATTTTTTCTATTTTGGTCTGTAATTACTATTTTCCACGGTTTTTTTTCAATACATAAACTTTTGTTTTGGAACATGATTATTGCGATAAAAATATGTTATCCACATTGAATGTTGGTGTTGTGTTAGATACCAAGTTCTTTCGGAGACGTTGATAAATTTTTCTATTTTGGTCTCTAATTACTATTTTCCATGGGTTTTAGTTTTAATACATAAAATTTTTTTTTGGAAACTTGATTTTTGCGATGAAAATATGTTATCCACATCAAATGTTGGTGTTTTGTTCGAAACCAAGTTTTTTTCAATTACGTTAATTAATTTTTCTATTTTGCTCTCTAATAACTATTTTTCATGGGTTTTTTTAATACTTCAAATTTTGTTTCGAAACTTGATTTTTGCGATTAAAATATGTTATCTAAATCAAATGTTAGTGTTGTGTTCGAAATTAAGTTTTTTCGGAGACGTTGGTTAATTTTTCTATTTTGGTCTCTAATTACTATTTTCCATGAGGTTTTTTAATACATAAACTTTTATTTCGAAACTTGATTTTTGCGATGAAAATATGTTATCCACGTTGAAGGTTGGTGTTGTTTTCGAAACTAAGTTTTTTCGGAGGCGTTGATTAATTTTTCTATTTTGGTCTCTAATTACTATTTTTCATGGGTTTTTTAATACATAAACTTTTGTTTCGAAACTTGATTTTGTGATGAAAATATGTTATCCACATTGAATGTTGGTATTGTGTTCGAAACTAAGTTTTTTTCAAGGACGTTGATTAATTTTTCTATTTTGGTCTCTAATTACTATTTTCCATAATCTTTTTCAATATATAAACTTTTGTTTCGAAACATGATTATTGCGATGAAAATATGTTATCCACATTAAATGTTGGTGTTGTATTCAAATGACTTTTTTCAATACATAAACTTTTGTTTCAAAACATGATTATTGCGATGGAAATATGTTATCCACATTGAATGTTGGTGTTGTTTGCGAAACCAAGTTTTTTCAGAGAGATTGATTAATTTTTCTATTTTGGTCATCTTATTACTATTTTTCATGGGTTTTTTTTAAATAATAAACTTTTTTTTTTTTAAAACTTAATTTTGCGATGGAGATATGTTATCCACATTGAATGTTGGTGTTGTGTTCGAAACAAAGTTTTCTAAAGGACATTGATTAATTTTTCTAATTTGGTCTGTAATTACTATTTTCTATGGCTTTTTTCAATACATAAACTTTTGTTTCGAAATATGATTATTGCGATGAAAATATGTTATCCACATCAAATGTTGGTGTTGTGTTCGAAACCAAGTTTTTTGGGAGACGTTGATTAATTTTTCTATTTTAGTCTCTAATTATTATTTTTCATGGCTTTTTTTAATACATTAACTTTTAGTTCGAGACGTGATTTTTGCGATGAAAATACTTTATCCACATCAAATATTGGTGTTGTGTTCGAAACCAAGTTTTTCCGAAAACGTTGATTAATTTTTTTATTTTGGTCTCTAATTACTATTTTCCATGGTTTTTTTCAATACTTAAACTTTTGTTTCGAAAGATGATTTTTGCGATAAAAATATGTTATCCATATCAAATATTGGTGTTGTGTTTGACCCCATCGCAACCATCGTGGAAAACACGTATCCAATGGTTAAAGATTGCATGATGATCTCATATATTTGAAAGATAGGACTATATTACCTCTGTTGAATCCATCAATGAATATATGTCATCTTTGAATATATCGGATGGTAATACTTATTTAAGTTCTGATACCACATGCAAATTCGATGGTGGTGATGATTTCTTGCATGACCTGCACACGCCGGAGTTCTTAAATAGTATAAAATGTTCTGGTGTTCCAAATCATGAATTGCACTTAAAGGTTGAGACTCCTGTCATGTTGTTGAGAAACATTGACCATTCGATTGGACTGTGTAATGGAACACACTTGGGGATAACGAAGTTTAGCACTCACGTGCTTGAATGTAAGATTCTAACAGGATCAAATGCTAGACATAAGGTATTTGTACCAAGACTTTCCCTAACTCCATTTGATCTCAGGATACCCTTCAAGTTCCAGCGTAGACAATTTCTTCTTATGGTTTCTTACGCAATGACAATCAACAAGAGTCAAGGACAGTCGTTATCCCATGTCAGACTTTACTTGAAAAGACTCATGTTTAGTCATGGTCAATTATACATTGTTGTGTCTCGAGTTACTAATCCACAATGATTGAAGATATTAATATGTGAGGAGGATAATGGGGAAAAGAAAACTACTAAAAATGTTTTCTATCGAGAAGTTTTCCACAATTTGTAATACCATACAATATTGTACTTTTACTATCCATTCAATAATAATGTTATTTAATTGTCATTTATTTTTTATGATATATGTATATATTAATATATTTATTAAAATATTTTAATAAATATGTCCCGTGCATCGCATGGGTGAGGATACTAGTATAATGATAAATATGTAGTGTATATTAATATTATTTATTGATGTAATTAATTTAAAAAGATATAAGCAAATTTAATATTTGGTAGGAATGTGATTACATGTAAGCTGAGATAAAATGAAATGTATCAAAAAAATCTGCTTATGATATTTTCCTTTAAATGTTTGAATGAATTTGAAATTTAAATTACAAATCAACCTCCAGTTATTCAAATAATTTCGAACGCAAAAAAGACGTTTTGCTATGAGCCAAACGATGTTCGTCTCAAACACAAAACGACGTCGCTTTGAACAGGGAGACGCGTCAGATAGAGAGGTCAAGTGTTCCTTTTTATAGATAAGAGTATAAGAATACATCAATTAAAGGCTAGAAATGAGGTACTTAAGGTTATAGATACAAAGTACCAGTATGTGAAGCTCCCTACACAATATTTTTCACAAACCTTTTTCCTGTTGTGTCCTACCATCTTCTCTTTATCAAATGAAACTTTCTCATCCCTTCAGAAGACAATGTCTTTAATATAAATTATACAACAATTATCCATTAGCAAAATGCTACTACAATGATAGAAGAAGGCGTTAAAACGTACATATAACATATACTAGAAATCATTAGATTCTTCAAAAAGAAGATCAAACCATTAATAAGTATCTTGAAGAGCATATAATACATATGAGAAGATACTGAAGTCTTAATGTGCGCTTGGAGTGAGCCACATAGGTGTTGGCACAATTCTTCTATAGCTTCGAACATCACATGGATAATAGCATGGAGACAGAGTCTTGTTCTCATAATTGAAAATCCCTATGTCATGGCCGCCATAGATGGAATCCAATGGAATCTGATCCTTGTTGGAATCGGTGAAGTAAATGCAATTGGGCTTCAAACCCGACCCAACCGCTGAGACTGCAAATGAGTGGTTCATTCCAATAAACATTGCCAGGCCATCCAAGGAATTGCCGCAACCACCCACAATCCGACTGAGGCCATCAATTCGGCCAAGTAGTCCAGTTTGAAAATCGACTTTAACAACTGAAAAACCGATAGTTTTGTGGGGATAGAGATGGACCATCAAGCGGTCGCTCACCGGATCATAGGGTATGCTGTCGACATCCGCAAAGGGTCGGTTGATGCAGGCTCGTTGTATGACAAATCGAACCACGAGAAAGAGCCGATCTCCATGATCATCATACACAAGGTACGGTATCTGCCTGCAAGACTTGACAAGATTCATATTTTCCTCTAGCCATGGGCATTTCTGTCCTTCAATATCTAGCAAGTGCCAGTAGATACGTTTGGTTTTGGGGGAGCAAGGGTCAGAAAGGTCCGAAACCTCGAATTGGGTTGGAACGGCAAGGCGCCAGTCCTCCAAATCAACCTCAAACTGCGTTGTGCAGCTGAAGACTTTACGCTTGCGGCAATATGTAAAATCCTCATAAGTCCTTGCATAATCCACCCCGTAATCAAAAGTTTCCTCCTTGTAGCCGTCAAAGAACAAGTCTCCCATAGGAGACCACTCAGTGCAGCGGCGAGGCCGGCAGAAAGCTAGCCTGTCTCCCGGGCCGTAGGACATGACGGCGCGGCAACCTTCCTCGTCCTCATCTGGGCAGCACGAGAGCACGACTTTAGACACGTGACCACGTCCGTCGGTCAGGTTTATCTCCGGGTCGGGCAAGGTGTGCACGGGCGGGAGCTTGATGTAGCGGTGGGTAAACGGATTTGATAGAACAATACAGTTGTTGCGGGGGTTGAACAGTGCCAGCCAGCCATGGGACGATCCCACGAGTTCGGACTCAAGTAATTCCGATCGATACCCAACAGGACCACTGACGCTCTCGATTCTCTCCCCCGCCGGATTATAGAACCTGTAAATCAAGTTGCCGCCATTGAAGACAGGTGGTAACACTAGCAATGGTGGCATTCTTGGCGTTGAACGTACGATGCACATCCTCCTCTGCTGATAATGATATGCAGCACCTAGATTGCTACTAGGATTCCCAATTCCGGTGGAAACACGACTGAGGAAATTAGAGTAACGGCGGCGAAGAAGTGTCGAAGCCATGCCCGATTGAATTTGGATCTTAGATGAACTAGGTTTTAGGGATTAACATCGTGGCCTTCTATTTGAGGAAATTACATCCTCCACTTAAACAATATGAAAATATTACATAATTACATTCTCTAAATAATTATTTATAAATTAACTAAATTTATTATATTTATTTACATATATACCTAAAAAGTTGAATTCTTATTTATATGATAACTTTACATCCATTACTTCTCATCAATTACGTCTCTCTCCTCTCCCCCCCTCTCTCTCTTCTTCACACAAAACACGCGCTGCTTGGTCACCTTCCAACGATGGCCGCTGCGGCTAAAGAGAAGCTCACGGCGATTGTCTTAAGCCCATCGACGAAATTCCTGGAAATTGGCCGCTACGCGCCCCCTTTTAATATCCACTCGATTTTTGATTCCTGATAGAAGGAACTATCAAGTCTCTTTTCTTTTATATCTTTAATTATTTCGTCCAACTGCTCTATGGAATAATTATTTTTCAAGCTTTCTACCACGTCTTGAAGTCGGTAAGGTGCGAGAGGGCGCATGTGCTCCTCCTTCCTTAATTTCTTAATAAGATCGCCCAATTCATTTTCACGGGTAGTAACCCAATCAGTGATCCAGTAAGAATCCTTTTATGTCGCTTTACCCGATCGACATCGTCCCACACATAATCTTGGCTAATCTCTAATGGACTTTTCCCATTTTCGGTGTCAGAAGCAGATTTCTCTATGGTGCTTTTAAGTATTTTGATTTAAGTTCTTTTCTTTAAACTTATAAAAATCAACCTGCTTCAAGCTTCAACACAATTTTTTTCCTTTTTTTGATTTACATAGTTTTTTTTTCTCTATCGATTTTCTTTAGTTTTTTTAGTGGAATTGGATCGATGATGTGTTGAATTATATTGCGTTATCTATCCGATTATTTCCTGCTTGAAAATGAAGATAGTCTTTTTTAATACTTGTTGAGATTATGTGATTGATTAATATAGTCTTTGTTTTAATTTTTAATTTTTGTTATATTTAAGGAGCTTTAGAGATGAGAGCTAATTAAAATCTTTCATCCTTGCACTTTGATTGTTAGTGAAGATAAATAATGGGGAATTTACAGTCTGAGATGCTTACTTTATTAATTTATTTATTATTTTGTGGTTTATTTTTAGTTGATTTTTAAGTAATGGTATGGATCGATGATGTGAAAAAAAAATTACGCGCACAAAATCAATGTTTTGATTCGATTTTTTTAAGATTTTTGGACTGTGTGTAGATCAATCAGTACATAATCTGTACATTGAATTTAGTTTATATGTACAATATATATACATATACTGGGATATGTACAATTATTTTACATCTTAGTTTATGTTTGGTATATTAGTTTATGTACAAATTAGTTTGTGAATGGATGTATGTTTTTTCTGTTTTCAATGTTTATTCATAGTTTATGTTTGGTATATTATAAGATTTTATTGACAAAGCATAAACTATTTTTTTTTTATTTTTTTTCGTGTACATGTATGGTTTATATTAAGTATATTTTCAGTATATGATAAAGAAATTTATCGCGAGACAAAATATAAACTGATTTTTTTTCTTTTTTTTTTTGTATATGTATGGTATATATTCAGTATATTTTCGATATATGATAAAGAATTTTATCGCGAGACATAATTTTTATTATAAAATAAGTTTATATTTAGCATAAATTGATTTTTTGTTGTTGTTGTTTTGTATATATATGGTTTATATTAATTAAGCTGTTATAATATGTGTTTAAACATATATATACTTTTATGTATAAAAGAAAAAAAAAAGATATAATTTTTTGATGAAAGGCATTTTCTTCATTGCAACATATGACAGCTGTGTGAATTAAGGAATTCAGTTGCGCACATATACTGAATATATACCAACATAAACGCAAAATATACCCACCTGCACAACTGCGTGAGTTACTTTAGGCATTAATGTAGATAAATAGGTCTTTTTGTTGTGTATATGTCTGGTTTATATTTTAGCTAAACTGTTTACAAAGCATAAAAACAAAGTAAACAATACGTAAACTTAACATATACTAAAAAATATTCAAAAACTAATTTAAAACAAGCATAAACTGATTTTTTTTTTTTTAATATCTATAGTTTATATTCAGTATATTTTCAGTATATGTACGGTTTATATTTAGTAAAATCATGAAAAATACATACAATACATATACCAAACTTTTTTTATGATTTATTTTATGTATATAGTAACTATATATTCAACATATATTTAGATAAAAAAAATTGTGCGTGCGTGTGTAAAATCACATTCCAATGCTGCATAAAGGTGAGGTAGCAATTTTTTAATTCGTATTGGAACTTGTACTAAGGTCAATTTTTTAATTCGTAGTGGAACTTGTACTAAGGTCTTAATTCGTATGATAACTGATCTCTCTTTGATCTCTCTCCAATTGTACTTGTGTGCTGGCACCTTCGTTTGAGTTTAGCTTTTCTTTCTTGACATCTTTATCAGGATTCGGCTGTGGGAATTGGGGGATTGAGGCCGCGGGATTATGTAACGGCTTTTAGATTTAAGAATACTTATTTAGGTAGATTTATAATTATTTAATTACCAATGGTATATTTATAATATTTTCTATTTCATACAGGATACATAAAAATTTCCCATTCTATTTAGCTTGGTTATGAGTGGGCCTGCTAGTGAAAACTAGAAATGTTAAATGGTCCGACCCGTTTATCCCAGAAAAAAACGGCTAAAGGACACACATATGCTCTGTTTAAAAACCTGTTCCCAATCTATGAAGGCTGTAAAACAATTCCACATATGATTCTAAAGCCTTTTTATTAGGAAGCCTATAAATAATTGGCTAAAGGACGTATATATATTCCCCTAAAAAACCTATTCCCAATTGACGAAACCTGTAAAATAATTCCACCAATGTCCTCCATAGCCTTTTTATTCGAAGCATGTTAACAATTCCAACTATTTATTCAAAAGCCTTTTTATTTGAAAACCATACCGTTATCTTTTATAAATTCATTTAGATCATTTTCAGTTTATCTTAAACTTATTACATTTTCTCTATTAAAAATTAATTTGAATTTATGGTTAATCATAAATATATTTTAAGTATATTTTTTATTTTTTTTACTAAATCATAAAAAAACTGGTTAATTGTAATTAAGTCTTAAGCATATCATAAGTATATTATCTATTTTCTTTACTAAATCCTAAAAAACTGATTAATCTTAAGTATATCATAAGTATATTATCTATTTTTTTTACTAAATCATAAAAAACTAATTAATTTTAAGTATATCTTAAGTATATTATCTAATTTATAATTTTAACTAAATGACACATAAATAAATAGACAACAAAATCAATTAAAAAAAATAAACTGAATATAAACTACAAATAAACAAAAAAAAACACCTAATTAAATAAAAAAATAAACTGAATATAAACTACAAATAAACCAAAAAAAACCTAATTAATTAAAAAAATAAACTGAATATAAACTACAAATAAACAAAAAAAACCTAATTAATTAAAAAATAAATAAACTGAATATAAACTACAAATAAACAAAAAAAAAACCTAACTAATAACCATATAATTATATCTTTGATTACAGATAAACAATCAAATTAACTTTCAAAATCATTTAAAACACAAATATATCACATAGTAGCACACACACAAACAACGATCACCAATCGGCACAACAACGCGACTGTAGCCTTCAAATTCTCTACATCAAAATTTAGAGAAAAAATTGCAAGACCTGAATCACATTTGCAGTGAATAAAAAAAACTTCCAAATTATATTCAAGCTCCGAGCTTCAAGAAATCATAGATAAACATCGAATTAATTCTCAAAAAACTAAATTTTTTTCCAAGAAATTAACACACGTAATGAAATCATAGATCAATTAACACTAAAAAATCTACTTTATAAAAAACTTTCACAGATTAATCAAGCTCTCATGTTCAAGAAAACCATAGATAAACATCAAACTAACACTAAAAAAGCTACTTTATTTTTTTTTTTTCTAAAAATTAACACAAGTAAACTAGAAAGAATGGGTAATCGGAGCCATCGAAAAATAGAAAACGCAGCCCATCACTTTTTCCGACCTTCGAGTCTCTATTTTCACCTCTCTTCTCATCTTACAGAAAGCATATTGGTTGGTCGATGAGTAAAACAGAGGAACTTCAGAAAATAGACTAAAATAGTATCACAACTCACAAGAAAAAACAGTTGGAACGATCGAAATTCCACAAGTAGCCATTTATCTATATTCACCAACCAGCACTGCAAAACCTAGAATCATTTCGAATTTTCTATAGTCTAACAGACAAAGCAAATAATCATCCAATTTACCTCAATTCACAAACAGCAAAGCACAAGTAAAACAAATAGCCTAAAATTTATGGTTTAATAGTTCAAGACCATTTGGATAACATCAAAGCATCAAGAAACACTCATCAATCAATTCATAATTATTATAAAACAATATATTTTCCTTCTGTATAATAAAAATAAAACCGCAAAAGCAACTCGACATACATTTCTGAAAACCTTCTACAAGGACACGTTGCGTTTAGCAAGCATATCATAACCATATTATGCTTTATCGGGGTGAAAGAGCAAATATCCAAAACCACAAAGAATATGCCTCAAAAGAACATACAAACTCACATATACACACCTGTTTGAGTAAACCGGCCCCAAAAGCTCGAGTCACCTTTAACGAACCTTTCACTCGGTCATTGATCACAACACAAGCATGATCAAGATGTTCATTTCTAATCCTCGTAACTTCCTATTGTACGAACCACTACAACAACAACAATAAATCGAAATTCGGCAAACAAATCAATGTAAAAAAAAAAAAACGCCCATCAATTTTGAGCAGATTTTCTTTACCTCCTGAACCGAGGTGATTTGTTCGTTTGTGAGCTGAAAAGTAGTTAAGCTCGGCAGCAAATCTGGCACGCCCTAGGAGTGAAAACCAAAACATTCAATTGATATTCTCCATAAAGTTATTTCAATAGATAATGACACATTAATATATGGCAATAATGACAAAATAATCATCCAATTCACAAACAACAAAGCAACATATTCCAATTTACCTCAATAATGACACATTAATTCATGCATTGGGAATTGGATCTAGGGTTCGGGTTGGCCAAATCTGCATCCGCTAGGGTGAAATTCAGGTTGAAGAAACCGTCAATAGCGTAGACGAACACAAATCCGTCGTCGAAAATGGGGGTATCAGAGACTTCGACGTTGTTGATGGATATTTGTTCAGGCTGGCCGGAGGTCACGACGAGGTGGCTGACGGGGGAGAGGGACGGGACTGTGGAGGCGAAGGGCAGGGAGAGGAGGGATTGGGGAGAGAGAGAAGGGGAAGAAGTGAAGGAGGAGGTGGGCGAGAGACGGCTGACTGGAAGTGGAGAAGGTGGAGTTCGGCGGGGAGAAGATAGTGAAGGTGGTGATGGGCGTCGATGATAGAGAAAGTGGAATTGAAATTTTCACAATTTCGTAATTTAGGCTTAATGAAATCTAAGGTGCGATTTTTTTTTTTTTTATCTCGTTAAATGGGCAGTACAAAAAGTTGGGCTCGTACAGAGGGTACTTATTTCTAAATAATTCCAGTTATTTATTCAAAAGCCTTTTTATTTGAAAACCATACCGTTATCTTTTATAAATTCATTTAGATCATTTTTAGGTTATCTTAAACTTATTACATTATCTCTATTAAAAAACAATTTGAATTTATGGTTTATCATAAGTATATTTTAAGTATATTTTATATTTTTATACTAAATTATAAAAAAACTGGTTAATTTCAAGTATATCTTAAGTATAACATAAGTATATTATCTATTTTCTATACTAAATCATAAAAACTGGTTAATCTTAAGTATATCTTAAGTATATCATAAGTATATTATATATTTATTTTTACTAAATCATAAAAAACTGATTAATTTTAAGTATATCTTAAGTATATTATCTATTTTTTTAAATAAATCATAAAAAACTAGTTAATCTTAAGTATGTCTTAAGTATATTATTTACTTTTTTAATAAATCATAAAAAAATGAATAGACAAAAAAATCAAAAGCAAAAAATAAACTAAATATAAACCATAGATAAAACCAAAAAATACAATCAATAACTAAAACCAACTCAAATAAACATCAAATTAAATATGAAAAAGCTGCTTTCAAAGAACTTTTCTACAAACTATTCAAGCCAGTCAGCTCTCTACCAATTCCTCACAATTTGCAGCGGTCAAGTTTTCCATCCGCAGCCGAATGCGAAGGTCCCGTTGGAATTTTGCCGGAGTAATTCAGATCTTAAATCCAACAACTCATAAATCTAAAATCAAACATGCATCTTCTTCACCTCCTCCGCAATTGTTGCATTCTTCTCCTCGTGCCCCGCCGTCTGCTTCCAGCCGATCCGAGTTTAGCGATCTTCGGCCCGGATTCTGCGTACTCTGGCTCCATAGCTTGGCCCAACCCTTTCGTTGAGTAATCTCACACGACAAGAAAAAACTGATCATCTTCTGGAAAGTTCCTCCAAAAACAGATAGGACACCGTTGAAATATGGCTAGATAACTTCGCGGTGGTCGTGCCGCAGAGGTGCGAGTGGGGCGGTGGGAGTTGGGGTTTGAGGGAAGATGAGGGCGATTGATTTGAAAAGATTAGAGACGGGAAAAGTGTAATTGAGTTTTTTACAATTTCGTAATTGTGACTTCAGTAAGTCTAATGTGCGAAAAAAAAAATTGATTTCGTTAAATGGGCCATATAAAAAGTTGGGCTCGTGCGAAGGGTAATTACCCGAAAAAAAAAAAAAGGGTTCGGTCCTTTCATTAGTAGCCTGTTTAAATCAGGTCTTTTTAGGCCAAGACCATTTATCCCGAAGCCCGCTAGGGCTAACCCGAAACCTGCTAAGACTGACCCATTTAACTAGGGTTGGTTTGCATCAAGTAAGTAATATTCTCTTAGATTTCTTGTATATTACAATTTTGCTATTTCACTTCACATGTAAGTATGAGTTGTAATGTATTATTATGATTTTGAAAGATAATTATCAACAATTTTTTTATTGTATTTCATGCCAAAATATTTAAGTCAATCAGAAGGACTAATAGGATACACATGAAACATAGTGATAGACGGTAAATAGTAAATAGCCGTTGAAAACAATTGTTAACCAGCCGTTGTTATTTTTTTAATATTTTACTCTTTTTATTTTTATTTTATTATTATTATTATTATTATTATTATTATTATTATTATTATTATTATTATTATTATTATTATTATTAT